AACGACAATTCAAGAAAGTAGTTAAATATGAGAGGAAGTCTCCGGAATTTCTTCATTGCGGAATCATGAATGTGTTGTTGCCGTTCTGAAAATCAGAATAAATTCTACCAATTGTTGGGGGTTTAATTGAAACGATAAGAAGATGAAGAAGACAAATGTTGAAAAGGTTCAAAATTCTAATAGCGCAATTTGGGATTCTATTAACCCCTGAAAGAAAGATTGATAATTGCATTAGATTTTTTGTTTGCGAAACACATTACACATATACTAAATTAATATTAGTAAGTAGAGCATCTTGTATTTATCTTGAATTGAACTGATCTATCATTAATTAGATATTAACTTAGGATAAAAATAAATAATTACCAAATATTTTTGATAACTAAGTATTTGAAATGGCATATAATTATTGGAGTGATGTAAGTACTTGACATAAATTAAATAATCCATTACATTTCTTGGATTCTTTATAGATTTTTTTCTAAATAAAAAACGAATAGATTGCTCTTTATTGTTTTCACAAATAAGTCAATCAATCGTGAACGAGGAAATTTCCTATTTAAATTGCAACAATATATTTGTATTAATTTATATCACATACTGCCAATTTTCAAAGAATGTAGCATTTTTAGTACTATAATTTCGAAGAAAGGAAAAAATTGACGAAAACCTTCATTTGGTTGGAATAGCACGATTGTTTTTAAAAAATTTTTATGTGCATAGTTAGTTTTGTCATTCCTTTTAACACCACATCAGTTCGTTAGGTGACTCTTTCGTATCTCTGATCTTTTTATAATTTTTTGAGGTAGTGTTGTTACTTCATTTGTAATTCTATTTATTTATATGAGCATTGGTATACCTTGTTACGAAAATATATTTATAAAGTTATTATAATTTTTGGTGCCTCTCATTACGAATATGCTTTTATGACTATACTCTTATTTTATTTTTCCCTTTTTATTAGGTATCTAAATAGATCAAAACATTGTGAATACTCCAGTAGGCCAAATTCATCTCAATTTAGCATGTTCAAGAAGTAAAATCAAAATAATAGTAACCAGAAAAATTCCTTCATGCTTACTTTGTCGATTTTTTAGTATATTACTTTTTTTGTCTCTATGATTTAGGGTTCTTCTAATCTAGTAAAAGACAATTTCTTAAAATCAAGTTCCCAACGTAGTTTTTGGTGAATATGAAGTGAAAAGATAACAATAATTATTTACCTAAAGAAGAAGGTCAAAACTATACGGGCTATCTTTTTATGGATCATTAATAGATTTAAGGAAAGAATATGTATATATTACTATTAACATAAATTTTATTATTTTACCATATTGTGTATGGAGCATTGTTTTATATATATATATATATATATATATATATATATATATATATATATATATATATATATTGATGTTATTAATATCTCTTCTCTTGTTTTTAGTTTTATCGTTATTGTGTTTAAATTTTCTCTTTTTAATTTATGTACTATTAATCCCACATTAATTAGTAGTCTCTCCGTTTCCAAAAGGATGTCCTAGTTTGACTTGAAACGGAGTTTCAGAGAAGAAAGAAAAGTTTTTAATGTTGTGGTTCTAAACTAAAGTTATGTCAAATGTAACAAAATGCCCTTTAATCTTGTGGTATTAAACATGCCACGAGAAAAATTAAAGTTAAACTTAAAGTGTTTCCAAAAAAGCAAAATGGTTCATTCTTATTAAAACAAACTAAAAAAACAATAGGGACTTTCTTTTTTAAACGGAGGGAGTACTGCTTTATTTTATATCAGTAAAATCCGAAAAGTGATACATCCACTCTCTTCCTCAACCATTTAGAAAATAAATGTTCATAATTTTTAAAAAGTTAAATTATATGCTTACACTTAGTGTAAATTATAGTGAAAATGCATAAGTACCCTTTCAACCTTTGCCCGAAATCTCAGAGACACACTTGTACTATATTAAGGTCCTATTATCCCCTTGATTTGATTTTATAAATAAATTTCTACCCATTAACGGCATACGTGGCACCAGCTTGAAAAAAAAGTCAACATACGTTGGACCCACAAGATTGTGTAACGTAGGCCAATAAAGGGAAACCCTTCAAGATGCTGTGGAGAGGGTATTTTGTTAGCAGAAAGACTCTAGAACTGATATTGGTAAGTTGTGAGTTGCCACGACAGGAATCAAGCATGTTAGAATGACAAGGATTTTTTATAATTGACAAATATAGGAACAGATGAAGGAAACAAGTTGTGAATCCCCAATTTTTTCCATTATGGAAGATGGAAGACTTACATGATATTGATTTTGACTCAGATATGAAAGAGGGGACTACATCTGCAGGGACAAAAATGCAGCCTTTACTCTCTGATTCTTCCTTTAGAGCCATTACATGTAAGGCTGGTAACCGAATCTGTAGTAGTTTAGCAGCAGAAAACCCTTTTTATGGAGACTAGATTCTGTGATCTCTGTTGCAGTGAGTCTGGTTTTTGCGGAGACTGTTGCGGTATACTTTGCACCAAACTTATCAGTCTGGACTATGATGGGTACAGTTAATTCCGTTGTGAAGCTACAGTGGTTTCTGGCCACATATGTGGACATGTTTCCCATCTAGAGTGTGCTCTACGAGCTTACATGGCTGGGAGAGTTAGAGGAAGCATCAATTTGTATGCAGAGTATCTCTGTCGATACTGTGATTCAAGGATGGATTTGGTCCCACATGCTTCGAAGATTTTAAACATTTGCACATCCATTGCTTCTTATGCTGACATCGAGAAGATATTGAATGTTGGCATTCGTATTATGCGTGGCTAAAAAAAAAGTATTGCAAAAGAATTGTTGCATTGTGTTGAATCAATCAATGCAAAGTTATAGCGCTAATTGATTAATGGAATTTTGTTTCCTGTGATTCTATCTTTTTTTTTCCTGTGTGAATAGCACTGGTAACTTCTTTGTTTTGTCATTGTCTTGTTTGTATATATGTATTTCAGCAAGATATTTTCAGTATGTGCAAATGTGGTTATCTTACTTTAAGTATTTTCTATTTCATGATACAAATATATACATCTATGTCTATTTCCGTTTTTACAATTGTCCACAAATTCCAAAAACACTTGTTGCAACTAAACTGCAATATGACAAGAATATAAGATTGGAGAGCCTTGTAAAAAGTAAAAAAGAGGAAATAAATAGCTTACTTAAAAAGAGTTTGGAACTTTGGTGTAATAAGCATAAAGAGAAAGGAATGGATCACTCATTGATCTCTTGTAGGGTGGTGTTTTGTTCAATTGCGTTAATAACATCTCCTGGCATAGAGTGTTCTGTCTAGCCCGTAAGGCATAGAATTGAATGTCACATCCATGATTTGTCTATCCACATTATTATAATTCTTTTCGATTTTTAGTCAATTTATAATTGGCTGACTGTTGATTTCTTCAAGTCGGCTACCCTAGAGTTTAGACGATTAGATAAAACAATATATTGTATACCGATAAAGAGATAAAAGACACAATTGTAAAAGAATTCTATGCTAGTTCAGATCACGTCTAATACAGTCCCCTTGAGGTACAACGGTTTCCTTAGAGCTTGAATGTTTATGATTAGACAGATGGCTTGTTCTGAACTCCTTGACCAGAAAAATTCCAATTTACTTGTCAATACATCCTCTACACTTATAGTTTTCTTTTCACTAGTAAATTATTTTGAATACAGTGTTAAAAGAGTGACTATGTTTTTGGTCAAAGGAAATTGCGCTATCGAAGTAGTCAAAAGATAATCTTATTCATTCAGTACCCAAACATTATATACTACAGATAAAAACAACCTACAGATAAAATTAACCTACTACCTGAATTCCAATACAATAGGGGAGTCTAAAACAGTATTAGTTAGTGCAACTAATAATTACAGTAACCAATGCTTAATACTTCGGTGATGATGATCTTTTTTTATATTTCTTGCTGCTTCTTTACCGTTGCTTGGATAGAATTGAATTGATATAAATTCGTTGATCTTCAAATAATATCAGATTTATAATGTCACTGAGATTGATCTTAGTAGAAGAGAAATTGAGCAATCTTCTTTTCTGATTTTCAGTGTTTTGCTCTTAATGTAACCCAAGGGATTTTCTCACTAATATTCAAATTTGTCTGACTGTCCTGTTATTTCCTGTGGTTAGCGTGTGCTCTTTTCCCTTCTTTCAAATCTATCGTAGACAAGTCATTCTTCCTTGATTCATTCCTTCTTTTCACAGATTTTGGATGTCTCATTTTTCTTGGTGCATATAATTTAGGATTAGTGTCATCATTAAAATTTAAGTTAATGAAGCTAACAGTACGTGTTATTTGTTCTCTGCCTTTAGCAATACTACTCACATTTATCGGACCTATCTGTAAGTCTGATATATCCAGATAGATATTGTCGCTATTGTGGGTGTGATTCTTCTTGTTGGTCTTGATATGGAATCATATTTTCTAATGATAGAATATGTCTATATGTTGTGTCTTTAGTATTTTGTGGAAGTCTAGTTTAGTACTCAATTTGCTATTATTAACTAATCTTGTGGCATTTCATACCCTACTCTATTTCTAATGTCATGTAGGATTCTTTTAATCCTTCAAATTTTGGACAATGGTTTTCATGAAGTTAATTTCTTGATTTTTCAGCTAACTCTGGTACCTCGCAGGATCAAAATCTCAATCAGAAGCAAAAGACACTGGATGATTTCAATATCCCTGAAAACATTGATCGCAAAGTTCCTATGCTAATTAATTGGAGGTAACAAGTAGTAACTGAGAAGAGCAAGTTATTTTGGACACCATTGTAATAAAAATGATTTGGTATATTGCTACTTGTACATTTATAAATTATGAGAATATGCTCAAACAGAAAGAGCTCAAGTTTGTTCATAATTTGGCTATATACCATGTTGTTTAAGTAAGCATGCATATGTTTGTTACAATTGGCAAGGAATTGTTGTTTTGCATATGTACTATTTCCAACAACTTTGGACATGTGTTGTTCAAAGTTAGTCTCGACAAAGTGTAACTTTATACAATGTTTGATGTTTTTTGAGGCTAAAGTTCAAGTATATCGTGTATATGGTTGAAGTATTTTCGTTTGAGAAAGCATATACTCTTTTGTACTAGTAGTTTGTTTAATTGATTCATGAAATGTGAAAATGATAACTATTGTACAAGAACAAGTTCAGCGTCTGTCCAAACACCTCTAGATCCATTATCAAACTCTCACGGCCTTGGTCATCCTTGGGCACCATCACTAACAGCTCTCCATCCACAAATACCACCGTGCCCAGCTCCGGCATAGTCAAAGCAGTCAATCTATACCTCCAATATGTATCCACATTCAATTCATGCTCATCCTCACCATGTGCATTTCCCTTTCTCACAACAATATTCCTTACCCCTTCAGGATGAATCTCTACTGCCAGTGTTCTCTCTTGTCCATCCGCAGCTCCATCTAGTTCGATTTTTTCCAAGAATCGGAAGAATCCTTCCTTCTCTTCCACCGCCACATCTGCATTAGAACGGAACAAAAATTCCAGAAATTAGTTAAATATGAGAGGAAGTCCCGAAATTTCATCATTGCGGAATCACGAATGTGTTGTTGCCATTCTAAAAATCAGAATGAATTCTACAAATTGTTGGGGATTGAATTGTTATGATAAGAAGATGAAGAAGACAAATGTTGAAAAGGTTCAAAATTCTAATAGCGCAATTTGGGATTCTATTAACCCCTCAAAGAAAGATTGATAATTGCATTAGATTTTTTGTCAGCACAATACATTCCGCATATACTAAATTTATATTAGTTAGTAGAGCATCTTGTATTTATCTCGAATTTAACTGATCTATCATTAAATAGATATTAACTTAGGATAAAAATAAATAATTACCAAAAATTTCTGATAACTAAGTATTTGAATTGGCATAAATTTATTGGAGTGATGTAAGTACTTGACATAAATTAAAAAATCCATTACATTTCTTGGATTCTTTATAGATTTTTTTCTAAATAAAAAAAGAATAGATTGCTGTTTTATTGTTTTCGCAAATAAGTCAATCATTCGAGAACGAGGAAATTTCCTATTTAAATTGCAACAATATATTTGTATTAATTCATATCAAATACTGCCAATTTTCAAAGAATGTAGCATTTTTAGTATTATAATTTAGAAGGAAGGTAAAAATTGACGAAAACCTTCATTTTGTTGGAATAGCACGATTGTTTTTAATTTTTTTTGTGCATAGTTAGTTTTGTCATTACTTTTAACACCACATCAGTTCGTTAGGTAACTTTTTCGTATCTCTGATCTTTTTATAATTTTTTGATGTAGTGTTGTTACTTCATTTGTAATTCTATTTATTTTATATGAGTATGGGTATATCTTGTAACGAAAATAGATTTGTGAAGTTATTATAATTTTTGTTGCCTCTCATTAAGCATATGCTTTTATGACTATACTCTTATTTTCTTTTGCCTTTTTTATTAGGTATCAAAATAGATCAAAACTTTGTGAATACTCCAGTAGGCCAAATTCTTCTTAATTTACCATGTTCATGAAGTAAAATCTATATAATAGTAACCATCAAAAGTCCATCATGCTTACTTTCTCAATTCGTTTGTATATTGCTTTTTTTGTCTCTATTATTTAGGGTTCTTCTAATCTAGTACAAGACATTTTCTTGTAATCAAGTTCCCAACATAGTTTTTGGTGAATAAAAAATGAAAAGATAACAATAATTATTCACCTAATGAAGAAGGTCAAAAATATACGGGCAATCTTCTTACGGATCAATATTAGATTTAAGGAAAGAAATATGTATATATTACTATTAACATAAATTTTATTATGTGAATTTCTATTATGTGAATTTCTAACCACCTAAATCACCCACAAAGAATTTTCCTTGAGAATCTTCCTTGAGTTATATATATATATATATATGTATATATTGATGTTATTAAGATCTCTTCTCTTGTTTTTCGTTTTATCGTTATTCTGTTTAAATTTTCTCTTTTTCATTTATGTACTATTAATCCCACATTAATTAGTACTCTCTCCGTTTCCAAAAGGATGTCCTAGTTTGACTTGAAACGGAGTTTAAGAGAAGAAAGAAACGTTTTTAATGTTGTGGTTCTAAATTAAAGTTATGTCAAATGTACCAAAATGCCCTTTAATCTTGTGGTATTAACCATGCCACGAGGAAAATAAAGTTTAAGTTAAAGTGTTGCCAAAAAAAAGCAAAATGGGTCATTCTTTTTAAAACAAACTAAAAATAAAATAGGGACTTTCTTTTTTTAACGGAGGGAGTACTGCTTTATTTTATATAAATAAAATCCGAAAAGTTATACATCCACTGTATTCCTCAACCATTAAGAAAATAAATGTTCATAATTTTTAAAAAATTAAATTATATGCTTACACTTAGTATAAATTATAGGGAAAATGCATAAGTACCCCTTCAACCTTTGCCCGAAATCACAGAGACACACTATATTAACGTCCTATTATCCTCTGATTTCATTTCATAAATAATTTTCTACCCATTTACGGCATACGTGGCACGAGCTTGGAAAAAAGTCAACACACGTTGGACCCACAAGATAGTGTCACATAGGTCAATAAAGGGAAACCCTTCATGATGTTGTGGAGAGGGTATTTCGCTTGCAGAAAGATCTAGCACTGATATTGGTAAGTTGTGAGTTGCCACGACAGGAATCAAGCAAGTGAAAATGAGAAAGATTGTGATAATTGACAAATATAGGAACAGATGAAAGAAACAGGTTGTGCAACATGTTCCTTATAGACCGAATCCGACTTGGATAAAGAGAACGTCAACCTCGCAAACTAGAAGATATAAAGCTGTGAAAGTATTGCTTTTTCGACAAACAACCAGTATAGAATGTTTCCTTTTAAATAAGGAGTTCGCAACCAAGTCGAAAAAGGAATTAGGGATCAACAATGTTTTCTTATTTAATTAAGGATAGTTTTGTAGGAATACAAAAGAAACATTTTGTGGAAGGTTTTTCTTATTTAATTAAGGAAAGTTTTATGCCAGTATATTACCTAATTTTGGTTGACTTCTACAAAGTCTTCATGCAACCGAGTGAAAGTTGAAGAAGAAATTGAAGATGCGGCAAGACGAGTTCCGCACAATGTAGGAGTCCTACGCGTGAGCTTCTAAGTTTTAAGATAAAATTAAGTAGAGCATAAGTAGTATTTCTAGTTGAAATAGGTTTTTGACTAAAGTTTAAATCTATAAATAGAACGATAGTTTCACTGGAGAAAATTGCGCACCTACATAGAGAGAAGATCAAAACACCATCAAGAGGTTTGAGAGAGTTTTGATATTTATCGTGATTGTTGCAATTTTAGAGGAAAAAGTTGTAAGATTGTAATTAAGATTTTTTATTACAATCGATGTGTGTGTTGAATTCGTCTAACAAGTTTGAGAAACTTGACAAGAAGACTTAAACCTGGTTTTTTTTGTCTTGGGTAGCAAAGAATTAGAGTTTATAATTTCTTAGCTAGGAATTAGAGTTTATAATTTCTTAGCAAGGAATTAGATTTTATAATTCCTCTCGGAATAAGAGTTATAATTCCTTAGGTTACATAGGTTTGCATTATTGGGTTGAAACTTGGAGTTTAATAAAGTGAAGTTAAATCCTACAGAGGTGTAGGTCGTGGTTTTTACCCTTATGAGTTAGAATTTTCCGTGATAAAATATTATGTTATTATTTTATTTGCTTCAAAAAACGTGATTCTTATAATCTAAAAAGGAACATATGAAATATACTTGTTCTTTAGGCGAATTTGGGTGTCAGAATTCAGAATTCCAACAAAGCAGGAAGGTATCTCAACATTTAATCGCTTGATTAAGCAAGTTGACTCTCTTAAAAGTGGAGTGAGCTTCTCCAACAATGAGCTTGTTGTTATAGTTCAGACCTCTTACTCAAGTTTCTCCAAGAATGTGGAACGTTCGTACAATACCTTTTACAAAAATGTGAGAAACTCCCTCAAGTACTTTTGGGGTGGCAATTAACTCTTGTGGTTGCACCTCTTTCTTTTTCTCTATATCTGAATAAGAGCTTGTCCCTCTCTATCCTTTGGACTACTGGTTTTCCTTAACTCTTAGACAACTCTGATTTCTAATGTCTATGCTTTTAGATATTCTTTTTTGATTATGACAAAGGAGGAGAAAACAATTACATCCCTCTCTTTGAGACAGGGAGAGCTAAGATAGGGGGAGCTACATACATCAACAACATCTAACCTTATGATAGTATAATTAAACACTCTCCGTATAATTGACTGTCCATATTACTATTAAAATTGTGATCAAACTTGTCAGTATCAAAAAGGTGGAGATTTTTAACTCCATATGGTTAGTTGATTTTGAAAATAGACTCATAATGTATATCTCAATTTTCGTAGATCACAAATCTAAAAAGGGAAGTCATCAGCACACACGACTTCAAGAAGGAAAAAAATATTTCATCAAAATACAGAGATGCATTGGAAAGGAAAGCCTCAAATATAAGGGACAAAAGAAAGGAAAGAATTATATGATTGGAATATATGGTCAATCAGCACATAGAGGAAATAAGCAAGAATCTCACACTCTTGGCAGCAATCACAATTAACTCATCAAGAAATAGGAAGAACCACAATTCAAGCCACAAGATAAGAAGATTGTTGATCACACAAGGACAAGATCAAATCAACACAAGAAAAGCATAAGAAGCGATGAAAAGCAAAGAGCCATAAATCAAGCCACAAGATAAGAAATCCGATGATCACACAAGGACAAGATTAAATTAGCAGAAGGAAAGCAGAAGAAGCGATCTACTACAGTAAACAAAATTGCCTCAATTAAGGACTCTCTAAAGTAATCTTTGATTAAGATAAAATCCCATAGGTTTTTTCCTTACAAAGAGTAGAGGTTATCATCTATTTATATCGATCAAGATGTATAGTGCGAAGCACACAACTTTACTTGAGCTTAGCAAACAAGTTTCTTTTGTCTTTCATAAAAATTTTGTGAACACTTGAGTGATACAATTGGAAAGAAAAGACAAAAGAAAACATCTGAGTGCAGGCATACAAGTTGAGACAATGTTAAGGTAGAAATCTGATTTGCATATCAGACATATTAAAAGTGTAACTATTGGTGTAACAAAGAATATTTCTTCAACTCTTTTAAGGAAAACCCTTGAAATCCAAGGGGACTGGACTAGGCACCACATTAGTGATCCCAACCAGGTTAAAATTTTGTCTGTCAACTATTTACTGCAAGTTTCTATTACTGTTTATTATCTTACTAACTTGCAGGTGAGTCAACTATCGACTATTGATAGCTGACTGAGTGAATTTATAATTCGCCCCCACCTCTCTTGAGTATCACTTAGTATTGTATTAGTGTGTGTATGTGATTTCAGGCATAGTTTGAGGGGGTATTGTTAATTTTCCTTAAGTTATATGGTTATAGTTTTTATTTTGAAGAGAGGATTTT